GCCAAATTCTGAAAAATTTTGTTGTTGTTGCCAGTGAAAATAATGCATGCAGTGCTAAAATAATAGTAGTAGTACTATAATGTATCCAATAATAATATTAAATATAAGGTCAATAATAATCATAATTACAACATAATACAGTGTTACAATTAGAATCATAACATGTAAGGATTGGAAGAGACATTGGAGATCACATAACCTAACCCATGGCCAGTATAGGAATCCATTGCTACAGCATCCTGACGGATCACCATCCACCCTCTGTTTAAATCTTCCCAGTGAAGGAGAATCCACAATTTTTCTAGGCAAGCTATTCCATTGCCAAACAGCTATTAGGACATTTTTCTGATGTCCAACCAAAATCTCTGTAACTTAAACCCATTGTTTCTTGATTCGCCTTCTGGAGCAGTTCTAAACAATCCTGCCCTATCTTCTGTACAACAACCCTTCATAACTTTGAAGAGAGAGATCATCTTTCCCCTCATACCCAGTGCCTCCAACCATTCCCCTAAGTTTTTCCTTCCTTATCATCTTGGTTGCTTTCTTCCTCAAATGTGGCATTCAGAACGGGATACAATATGCTCGGTATAATTTGACTAATGAAGAATGGAAGGGAAGGCTCTTGTTCCTTTTTGGGCCGGCCAAAGTTTTTTGCCCACCACCTATAGGAATTTATCTGCTATTGGACAAAAAAAAATGGATGTTACATTTTTATTACAAGTGGCAGGGAAAAAGTGGAATAAGAGCCAAATGGAATTATGACTTCTCTGGATCTTGAGGTAGCCTAGGATTGCATTTACATATCTATCCTGCATAATCAAGGGCCATTTTAATCTCCCAGCTGTAGTGTCCAAGTAAGATGTAGTTTGCTGTATGGATTGCGGGCTACATAGTGACCTCCACTAAGTGCTTTAAGAATCAGGATTTCACATATATTCACTGACTGCTACTGCATTATGTACAGTAATAGGCAAGATGTGTATTTTTCCATAATAGAACCTAATAGAGAGTGAGTGTGTGTTTTTCTTTCTCTTTAAAATTAAAACTGTGGGAAAGCTTTAACTACCCTTTAATATCTGATAGACCAGGAGTGGGAAACCTGTAGCTCTCCAGATGTTGCTGATCTACAGTTTCCAGCAGCACAGCCAGACTGGTCAAAAGTGATAAATGTTGAGAACTATGTTTTACTGACCTCAGAAGGGCTATTGGGCAGTTCTCTGTCCTTGTGAATGGATCAGTTCTGATTTGTCAGTAATCTGATAACAATTCCTGAGTCTGAATCCAGGCAGCGAGCAACCAATTGCCCAACATCCCTTATATACTTAGTGTTTTGTAAACAAAATATGAATAAGCAGTATAGATTTGTTTCCACCCAAGAACAATTCTATTTTCCAACAATTGTGGAGGATGAAAAAGGAGAGAGAGAGTTGAAAGAGATAAACATGAATAAAAAGCATGTACACAAAGATATTTCTTACGATGGAATTTACAATTAGGCATTAATATGCAGTGAAGCAATGAGCTCATGAGACTGCAGAGTTCTCCATCACCATGGAACTACAATTCCCAGAGTTCTTTGGTTTCAAGGATGACCCAGGAATTGTGTCAGATTGCAAAGCAATGTGACAGAGCCAGGAAAACGATCCACCCTAGTAGAAAGCCTTTTATAATTCTTACTAGGAGTAACTGGGAGCCAGTACAGCTTGGAACAAGTTCTAAGCATACTGGCTCCTGGCTTAAGGGTAAAGAGAATAACATACTATAAACCAATGTAAACTGTGAAGCATGAATGCATTCATTTGAAAATAAATCTTGCTGAATTTAGGGGGAGTCCATAAATGATGCACACACACACACAAAAAAAAGACTCAAAGAGCCTGTCAGAAAAAAATGTCCCTCATTAATTATGAATTATTTTTTGATCTGGAAAGTTTGCCCAAGCTTCACATGTGTGAGTGGGTTGCTTTAAGTGCTCTCTGTTGCTCCAACCTCTGCCTATCAAAAGTAGGAAAGAATTGCAGAGAGCCCAGGGGACTATCCTGTCTGCAAGTACAAACTCTAAATAGCATCTCTTCTTTTAATTTCTGCAGCCTCTTGTGTTAAAACAAAAAACTCAGTTTGCTGTGGAAGAGCACTGAAAGGAAAAGGCAATATATCTACTAAGAGTGTTTCCTGATAGGCCAGTTTTCTTGATTCAGAACTGCTTAAGGAGACAATGATTTTGTTTAGCAACCGTTCAAAGCTACAATGGCGCTCAGTGAGAGGGATTTACAATGGGTCCTCAGAGTTCTGGCCATCACAGCATCCCCACAGTCATGTGATTATGACGTTACAGTGAGCTGTGGTCACGTTATCACGATTTGTGACGTTCCCTGCCAGCTTCCCACAAGAGAAGTCAATGGGGAAGCTGGCAGGAAGTTGGAAGTTGCGATCATGTGAGGTCCTTGTTTGACAGCCCATGCAGTCGTCATTTAACAATGGCAACTGGGACTGCCAGAATTGCTTAGCAATGTGGTCACATGATGGCATGCTTTACGTCCGCATCGCTTAGCGACAGCAAGTCTGGCAGTTATTGTCTACAGATATATATGCAAAGAATGATAATTACTCATTTTGCATACGGTTTTACTATAGCCAGCCCAACACCTGCCATATGTTCTGAACTCCAGGTATGGAGTATGAGAATTGGAAAAGGATATTTCATTCTGTTAGATGTTTTACCCTTTTTCCTCCCCATCACTCAAGTACTATTTTTTTGCCTATCCTTGTGCAGAAGAAACACAAAAGATAACCATCCTCATCAGTAAATTTGTACTTGCCCATGTATCTCCAATTAAAGCCTCCTCAAAAAAATTCAGCCAGAGCTTTTGCTACTTTTACATATGACTTTAAAGAGTAGAGAAGGAAGGACATACTGTGGCTTTTTTTCATGTTATAGAGACGATATGTCCTTGGAGGCCTTTCTGTGATCTTTACGGCAATGGGTCAGACTCTGTCCGAAGCTGCTATTTGAAAGCCGAGGTGCGAAGCTGCTGCCCAAGGCCCAAACGGACATCTTGACCTGTTGCTGGGCCCAGTGAAGCAGCTGTCTCAGTTGAAGGATGCTGAGGTCAGGGCCAGGAAAAAGAGAGGCCGAGCCCACGGGTGGCAGATCTCATACCACACAGGGTCTGAGCCACCTCCCTGGGCTAGATAAGATGAGACAACACAAGGGGCTGCAGCGGATTCTGCCACACTGCCATCTAGTCCAGAGCAGATATAAGCAGCTTTCTCCGCCAAAATCATCCAGCCAGCCTGCTGGTACCTTATTTGTGCCATTTTGGGCTGGAGGATGACAACCCTCAACAGGTACAAACATCTTCTCCTTATTTTGAAAGAGCCATTCTTTTATATATACTCGCTTAAGAAACTTCAGGACACCAGAGTGATCGGAACCCTGAAACTTCTGAAGGCAATGTGTGCATTGGGGGGCTTGCAACTACATTGTGGGAACACTTCCGAAAGGTCTCTTGTGGAAGAACAGGCCCATTTACAAAATGGCAGCCATGGTGGTCGTAACTAGTCACAGAAATCAAACTGTTGAAGCTAAAACTTGCCCCAAAACTTAAGTGCAAGATGAGAGGAGGCTTTACCCCACCTATGTCAAATTGTATATTTCAGCTCACAAAGCCCAACAAAAATATCACAGAAGACAAATTGTTGATGCTCAAGACCTGGAGGTTAGACACACAATGCACAGACACTGGTTAATTAAAAATAATTTTCCTTGCATGCAACTCCATGCTGTAGCTGTATCAACCACTCTGTCATACTGACTGGGGATGATGACGATTGTAGTTTAGAACAGCAGGATGTAGGAGGCATATTATCCATCTATGTATATATTCAAATAAGGCATTAATATTAGATGTAACAATTGAGATATAGTAAACTTTTTTTTAGTATTCTGTTAGGTTTATATCTAAACTGCATCTCCTCTCTTCCCCTTTTCTTGTTTTATTTCCAACACATGCAGTATCCCAAACAATACGCCACATTCTAATTCATTGTGAAAACATGTTTATTTCTTAATTTATTCAGGCTGTAATTTTATCAATAAATATTTATTTATTCATGTAAAAGATTTAAATAACCCTGGGTGGATCACAACACAACCAGTAAAAACATAAACATGAAATGACAGTCCCATCTATACAGAAAGTCATCGCTTAACGTCCGTTCAAAGTTACAACAGCGCTGAATAAAGAGACTTAGGACTGGTCCTCGCAGTTCTGGCCGTTGCAGCGCCCCGACAGTCACATGAACAAAATGCAAGCCCACTTGGGCCCACCTGCATTTATTTTATTTATTATTACATTTATATGCCGCCCATCTCCTCCAAAGGGATTTGTGACCGCCTTTGGCTGCCCACCTACCATCTGCCACCAGCTGCCCCGCCGCCTGGCCCTGCCCACTGCCACGTTTGCATACCAGCCAGGGCCTCCGTTCATGCCCTGCCAAGGGCCTTCTTTCGCGAAAGAAGCCTGGCACCTGAAAGAAGGACCCCGCAGCACCGGTGAGAAAGAAGGCCCCTTTTAGCCTTGGGTGGGGCAGAATGGAGGTTTGGCTGGCACACAAACAGAGGCTTTGGGCAGGGCAGAAGCTGCACTGGTGCAAAAGAAGGCAGAGTGAAAGAAGGCCCCAGACGGTACAGTAGTGGCAGGCGGTACAGTGGGCAGGGCTGGGCAGTGGGGGCAGATGGTGGCAGCGTAGGGTAGGTGGGTGGCCAAAAGGGCAGAGATGGGGGGGAGATAGGCAGGAGGGGGCAGTTCAACAGGAAGCAGAGGAGACCGTCCCTTACCTTACTGAGGCTCAGGGCTGGGATGGACCAAGCCAGGAATGGCTTGGATTGGGGTGGGTCCTTGCTTAACGACCAGTGGGATTTGGTTAATGATGGTAACAGGGACTGCCGGGATTGCTGTTGCTAAGCAATGTGGTCAAGTTATAGTGTGCTTTACAACCGCATCATTTAGTGATGGAAATTCCATTCCCAATTACTGTTGTTAACCAAGGACTACCTGTACTTCACGCCATGACATCACCAGATCAACTCCGCATTTTCTGGACCCACTCCCATACTAGAATAGCCGAGAAAAGCTATAGGCCAGAAAAGATAGCAACTTCACTCTTTAGACAGAGAAAAGATAGCTTTCAGTTGCTTCTTTAGCCCAGCATCATAACAGAGATCTCAATGAGCGCTGCATAGTTTTTCTGACTCATTTTTTGCTGATGTGCTGCCAGTTGCTCCTCTGCTCACACCCCGTTCACTCTACTGTAGGCAGGCATTCCAGGTCCATCTGCATCCAGATTTGGAGCTGACAAAGAGCTGCTGAACAAATTAAAGAGACAGAATTCTGTAAGAATTAATCAAGATCACTACTGCCTCCCTCCCCCGCTCCGCACATACACACACACACACACACAACATTTGCACTGTGTAGCTCTGCAGGACCTAAACAGATGGGAAATAACCTCACCAACCCAGCGGAAACCTAATGGCTTCCACCAACAGAAGACTGTTTTTCAAAAGCACAAAATCAATACTAGGTTTCAATATTTTATTAGATTTCCCAGTAGTCTAGAGATTTCTTTAAATGTGAACAATTTTAAGACTTAGGCAAACGCTCCAACTCTTGTTCAAGGGAACCCTATAAAAATTAGCAATTCCACTGTCCTAGACTGGCTGAAACATTTGCTAGCGTGGATAGTCAGTCTTAACGACTATCATTTCCATTTCTGAGGCAGACAAATTAAGGCTAAGTAACAAGTTTAAGTTTAATGTGTAATACACTAGCACCAAACATTTTATGGAAACAACAAGTCATAAGTTTGGAGCAGGAAGGAGCATTTTGTGATCATGTACCTATTAAGCTCATTCTCAAATACATCTTTGCAATCCAATAATAGCGACCTCAAATGGTAACTTATAATGTAGTGATAAAGTCATTATAATATTATATATGAATATAACTTTTATGGAGGTTTATCTTAAGAATGCCACATAAATCTTTAAGATAATGGAATACTGCAAAATTAAAGGCCATTTAATATCTCTCTCTAGAGAGAGGGCATAGGAATCTGTGGTTTTTCAGAAATTGATGGCTTACCACACTATTCATCTCTGACTGTTGTGCTATATAGGAATCCAACAATGTCTAGAGAAGCAGGGCTTTTCTATTCCTGCTTTAGTGTGAGGCAGAAAGCAGAGAGAAGTCCAGGCCATTGCCAGCTTTTATTAGCCACATAATAAGAACTGCAATTGATTTATGTAATTAATCTGCCACAAAGAGCTCTATTGTCCTACAATGAACCTAGGTGGAAATTGTTCCCTCCAAACTCTATTCTCATAATGTGGCCTTCCCACAAACAGTACTTGGACAGGTGTATGGCACCTGTTCCACATGCAGAGCTGTACGCCAGGTGACAGATGTAAGTTCACCTGTAACTTGCACACAGTATCATGGGAGCCAAGCCATCACGAGCAGATGCAGAAAGTGGACTTGCTCTATGGAACAACCAATATACACAGAAGTGATATTTCTCATCAACCCAAATGTGCAAGCCAATTCCTCTGAAAAATATTGGAGCTGAGATTAAATTAGAGGTCTATCTCTGAACCGTTCATATAGTTCATTTTATGCTACAGTAAAGAAATTGTCGGAACTGTCATGAACTTTAAGCTATAGATGTACAACCCTGAAAAGCTACTTGCAACAGCTTCCATATGATGACTCTATTTTAATTTAGGCTAATGTTTCCTTCAACATGAGGCAACAGTCTACCTTTGGGAAACCACCATCGCTGATCAAAACAGAAAGAGATTCCACTTCACCTTCAATGCACCTTCTTTTGATTGGAGGACATTCACACCTGGAGCTGTGAGTCATCAAGTGATGTCATCTAGTGATTTCCATGAACGTCTGAGGCAGGCCTAATTTCCCAGTGGGTTGAACATTCACTAATGAATGATGGGGCTTTGTAATTGATTTAATCTTGGGGCTAGGATGAAGCATTTTTTTTATCCTTGAAGCAATGCTTTTATGTATTTTAAAAATCATTTTGATGTTTAACTTCACTCTGACTGGAGAAACGGAAGGCTTTTATATGTATATGCCACAAATGGCTTCTTAAACTTCCTAAACTCAAGCTGAGTTTGTAAACTGCTTGAATTAAATACCTCTGCATTTGAAATAGTATCACCTTTTGACTCTGCTGTTTAATCTGTGATTTTTTTTTGAAGTGTTCACATATGCAAGTTATCACTCAATATTGTAGTCATCTAGCAATTGAAGAACATGAATGATCAGGGTCTCTCTCTCATACACAGGCTTCTCTGCATGTTCCTACAAAGCTTTAAACATTTCTGTTTCTCTCTTCCCTCTCCCAGCAACCTTGCCAATAAAGAAAGCTGAACATGAATGGTTTGAAGCAAGAGTGCTATGGGTTCATTTAATATTAACAAGTTGAAATGATTGATTGGAATGCCAATTAACTGTTAACTGTCCCTTATTAATAGTAATTTAGATTAATTCTTTTTCAGTAGGAATGATAGTCTCTGGGAAATATGCCTGGAATAAAGAAGGTGAAAACTACCTTTGATTCTGGAGTGACAAATATTGATGTCCATATTTTTATTAATAATATACTGATCATGGCATCACTAGGATGTTTCATCTATTTGTAACTGAAAGGTTACTGTGGGTCTGTTGCTCTCTGAAGATTTCTCAATAATTACATTCAAGAGACTTTTTCACCCCTCCTCCACAGTCATTCAAACTAGGAACATAAATCTCTCTCCCTCCTTTCTTTCTACAAACACACAAACCCCTTTGCATTTACTGTCTTCTGGGGAGGGTATCTCAGAATGTGGGGAACCGTTCAAAACATCTCGACTTCAATTAGAAACACCCTCGCAGATATCTATCAAATCCGTCTGTGAGACAAGCCAAGATGCTAACCCATACCCACAAGCAGGTGGTTTTCATTGCAACTATGCCCATGTCTCAAGGATGAAATCACTGTAATTAGTGATTTCTCTCTCAGCAGCAACCTGGCTTTTCTCTTTATAATGGCTCTTGATGGTTTAAAAGGGGTTACTTTGTTAGGCATGCTATTTGTTGTTTGTTTGCTTCAGTTGGATCCCACCATTCTCTAGGAGTGCAAGGCAGCTTACATAGAGATCTGCTTTCATTTTCCTCCCCCCCCCCCCACCCCCATGACAGCAACCCTCCAAGGTAGGCTGAGCTGAGAGAGAAAGTGATAGATCCAAAGTGAGTCCATGACTGGCAGACTTCAACCTAGCTTGCTTCAGTCCTAGTCTGACAACTTAACCACTACACCCACATGTATGTATGTATGAATGTACAGACAGATAGAAAGGATTGTGGTTTGTAGTCTGCTGCCACAATACACATACAGTATATACACTTTTAAGGGATGGCATAAAGTTTGTAGTTCCTCACCTGACTAATACATCCCCACGGAGCAGCGGGGGAGGGGGGTATTCATCCATTTTCATTGCAGAAGTAATTGTAAATTTAATCAACTACATTAAGACGGAACGATGTCTTATGGTCAGATATTTAGCATCGCTGAGATCTACTTTCTGGAGGGAGAAGGCAGGGAAAAAGGAAGGAGCAGCTGCTCCGGTAGGAGAAAAGCCGAGCCCGAGATGCGGCGGACAGAATAAAAATCGATTCACTCACCTTTCACTTCCCAAGAGATATTCCAGCAGGGGAGGGAAGCGGGCGGCTGCGTCTATTTCTGGCAGCCCGGCGGGAGAAAGGAGCCTCTTCTTTCCCATCCCTCTTGCGTGTTTGTCCAGAGAGAGACTGAAAGTTACAAATTGCTGCCATGAGCTCATCAAACAGTGCCTTTTTCCCCTCGGTGAACCTTGGCCATTGGCCAAGCGCCCGTCACGTGGT